TTCAAATTATAGCTGCTACTGCTAAGAGCAACTGCACTCACAAGCTGTTGAGACTTGCGAAAACAAAACCAACAAGCAATTTCCATCGCAACAACTACCCTTCCTGTAGGTCAAGCTGGTGCCTTCGGCGATTCTTAATTCAACTATCTGTGTAGCCGTAGCAGTCGACTCAAAGCAAAAATGCATGAATCACCGGGAGCAATGTCTGCGCACAGCCCTAGGGTAGACCCTTATCATAAGGCTTGACTGTGTTTAAAGGAGTCTGAAAAACATACACTGACTACCGTTTGCTATGTGCATGTGTTATCTGTGCTAGGTGAAGGCACTGCAATGAGATGCGTCGGCTACGCGGGCTAGATTGTATAGTAAGACGACTTTAAACGCAATGGAAAACCTATTGATTTTTAATATCGCTTTTTAATGATAAAACTACGGTTCAATTCAAATAACAGAAGATTATAAGAGTGATCCGTCGTTTCGCTCAGAGAATAGCAGACACTCGCGTGTTAAGTATATGTTAAAAAGAACTACGAGAACAAAAACTACATCAATTACTGCGGTGTTTAACCCTTATAATAGAGGACGAATGATTTTGGATTGCTTGACCCATCATTGATTATTACGTTTTTATATCCTGTTTGCAGGCAGGGCTAATAGAAACACGGGGCATAGCTTGTCCATTTAGTGATGCATCCTATAGTTCTTGGTAGGTCACACCATCTACTTCTTGCAGGCAGTGACTAGGTCTAGCATCAGTAGCTGTCCCCAAGCTCTCAATTATTTATGTCTGCAGTAAAGTTTTGACTGTAAGCCAACTCAAAGTAACCGCTTTGATTGGCGGGCAATACCAAGTGATTATTTCTGGTGTATCCCTCCCCCAGACCCTGTGTTCCCCGGATAGCTCTTGTCATTTCTAGATTAGGCCTAGTAGGCGTAGTATGTACATAGATAGTTGGGGCGCACCGTAGACACACATCGATATTAGAGGCGGTTTTCTTACTGCTACTGCTAAGGGCAACTGCAATCACAAGCTGTTTAGATTTGCGAAAACAAAACCAACACGCAATTTCCATCGCAACAACTACCCCTACTGTAGCTCAAACAGGTGCCGGATCCCTTTGTGATCGGACATCCGATATAATCACAAAGACGTTATACAAAGTAAAAATCTTGTTATTCTTGTTACGTGGGCGTTGGCGCTGTTGAGCGAAAAAGCTTTTGCCTGAGCAAAACCCGCTTTATTTATTACAGAAATAAAAAGGGAACAGGTCATTTACACAGCCGGATGGATAAAGTTGGGAGTGAGGAAACCAAAGCAAGCTTTTCTGTGCTCAAGGACCCAAACATGAGCTTACTTGGAATAGTTCGAATCCGATTCACACTCCTGGTTGAGATAATGGGGGTATGAGTCCCAGCGTTGGCTTAGTTAGCGTTATTTCTGTCAACTTGCAGCGTAAATGTTAGCAGCAATACGTCATTTGTTGAAATTTATGGGGTTTTAGCCCAGTGCTAACTTCAATCGGCGTCATTTCTGCCTATCAATAAGTCAGAAATACTACAATCAGATAGTATCACTGAGTGACACCCTAGTTTGTAGTATTTAAAAAAAGCACATTACCTAATTTGGACGCGTGGGGGTAGACAGACCCCCAGTACCTGAACAAAGTGTACTCTTGCGGATGACTTAGTAAGCTGGTGTTTCTGGCCACACTGGAGGAAGCAGCTTACGACCGATTCCTGCTTAGCCATGTTGACTGTGGTGCTGTCACCTGTTCAAGCGGTGACAGGGTTAGTGTGGTGTAGTCAGTTGTGCATTTATTTCAATTTTAATCTCGTCTCTCTCTCTCCCTGCCCCTGAGCGCATAGTGGATGGCAGTCGAGCTCACACAAGTGCACATAACATATAAATGAACGATTTTTAGCCCCCCCCCACCTGCAGAATACAGGTCTGACCGACAGGCCAGACGGTTTCTGAGCACAGGAGACTAAGTAGCGCGATGCTTTTGGCTTGCATTGAAGAAGGCGGCCTACGCCAGATCCGATCTTGTATTCTTGGCCCACGGTGAAGGAAAGTAGTGCGGATGGTGCTGACGGTGTCGGCCACAACATTCAGCTTTCTCCTCTAGGCATTCACTATCACTGGAGAGTTATGCATGTGTGGATTTTAACCTTGTGTATGCCCGCGTCGACACTGGTTATATCACACACTTGCGTGTTAGGAGGTTAGGCAGACAGGATGGTAGAAGTGTGAAGTTCATTGTAGAATAACGAAAAATAACAAAAAAGTATTCTCTCCTTCGCATTCTACACGAATGCCGACCATATTCGAAGACATCTGATGATCCAAGTTGGTGCGTACACAAACGTTCGTGTGCTCTTCTTAATAAAACCTCGATCGAAGCCTTATCTTTGTGTCCTGCACGCTGCCGTCTCTGGCATAAATCCAGCCAGCTAGAATGAAAGATCGATAATTTGATAGTAATGATTCTTTGAGAATCGGGAACGAACATGAGTGTACATTTTCGGCGCTGGTACACCAGGTCGTCTTTGAACGTAAGGGAAATGTGCAAAGAGCAGTGCGCACGTTTTTAAACATGTCGAACAATCGATAATGATTTGTCATCCTTGGTCAATAGCAGGTGTTTTGGTGGTTGGCACTTTTTCAGGCCTTGTTTTTGAGATTCATGGACTTTGAGTCCATATCGACGTGGCTATTGATGAATGAATCGTTAGAGTTTATGTCCTCAACAAATTCGCAGTCTTTCATATATGGGCAGGAACCTTCAATGTGGGTTCGGTCCCATGTAAATTTTTGTACAGTTTCAAGCGAATGCCTGGTGACTTCGGACCGGTGGTCGCACCTTTTTAATGCTAATTGATGTTAATGTAGGTGCGTAAAAACGGACCTTTTTTGTTATTTCACAATAAATTCCTCCCCCGTCGCCGCACGGAATTATGTAGACGATCTTATTTCTATCCAAACAGCCAGTTCTATCCTTAGGGTTTCTATTTTCACATCTATACCACCAGATTAAGCAAGGCAATACACATGAGGACTACCTAATTCTTACGAAATTGACTTTCTTATATCTGCCCTGTATGAACTCTTACATGTGTGTTTGGAAACTAATTTCCCATTCACACAAAGATAATATAAGCAGGTAGAAAGAGCGTCAATGGGATCATCCATTTCCGGCTTCTTGGCTGAAATAATGATATAATTTATGGCCCTTCCGCTATTTAACCCCAAGTTGTGAGTACGTTATGTCGACGGCACGTTCGGCATTGTTAATAAGACCCGCTGGGTACACTAAAAAACATGATCAGTTCAACGATGCCAGGCATCATGTTTAAGCTCGAAAAAGCAGTTAACAGTAAACCCCATTGCTTGACGTTCTTGTGTAGCGTAATACTGACGGAACGTTTTGAACGTTAGTTTACCGCAAAGATACGTATGCTGATGTTTTCCCTCATTACAAGAGCAACCACCCTATTGCTCAAAAAGAAGTGATGTTACCACCCTAATGTATCAAGATGGAATGTTTTCTTCTTGCCCCGATCTCAACCAAGTCGAACTCAATTACTTATTCGAATTGCTTTTAAAAAACGGTTACCCATATAGTTCGTGCGTCGAAGAATGAGACAACTAGAGTAAAAGCAGAAGTTACCTATGTTGTGGGCAAATTAAATTTTAGTAGGACACAACATATGTTTCATAATGCGGATGGGTTTGAAACACAACTGAATGACTGCCGCAAATACTTCAACAAGAAGGCCTTATAAGCGAGCATGACTTCGGCCGTCTCCGTCACATATGCATGTACATACCACAATTATACGCCTTATGAAATGTCCACAAAGACTGTTCACCTGCTCGTACAATCTCCGACCTAAGGTTCCTATTTCAAGGGATGACTTTAACGTCCTAGACCTCATAGTATGTTAAGATCACTTCCTGTTCATGCGCTGCATAGCTTTCGTGCCTTGTTCTTTTCTGTTGATCATTTAGTAATACCCATAGTTATTTAGCGAAACTGCGACTTTCTCCGATGTTACGTTTTACTGAGAAGGACGATTTCGGTAACTTTTTTGCAGATTTTAACCCTATTGTAATAATAAGTTAAAGTTCAGCGCAACCACTACGTCCTTTTCTTGAATAATGAGGATGCAAGCTAAAAGCATGCTAGTTAGCCAGGTGAACAGTTGCGTAAAATTTAAGGTGACTGTGAAGAGCGTGGTTGCCTCATACAGACCCCAACCCACGGCAGTACTTGCACGGTTTAAGTACAGAATACGCTATATAAAACTGAGGTACAGGACCCTTATATATTAAAGAGCTTACCACATACCTTTCAAGTTACCCTCTGAGTCTACAACAGCGCATTCATTACATAAATCCTAATAAAGTAAGACGATGCCCTAGCCGCATTTGAAAGAAATCAGTTAGAATAGACCAGATGGCTTTGTTAATTAAGATAAACTTTTGGCAAAATTAAATAACTCGGTTTACTTTTAAGTTGAAAGTGCGCAGAACTCGCTGATTCTCATCAGTACATTCTGCTACATGAACCGAAGTGCAGCTAAATAAATCTGCCAAGGAAAATGTTTCCAATAAAACATGTTCGGTAATTGACAATCCATTAGAATGAACGAATAAGGTAAAAAATCTGCGCAAAAACTGTTATTTCCTGCGAAAATTTTCAATATGTTGGTGGGCTTCCTCAGTCCATCTAACATGCCTTCAGGGCCGGCAGGCATGTACAATTCACGTCACTCACCTGAGCGTGCGCGCAGTTTTTCAACTCTTATGTGATTGGATGAGCACATCGGTTGGCAGGACGTGATTGGCTGGTTGACTGTCAGTGGCTGCTGCGAGCAGTCAAGGCCAGTGCACAGCGTTTTCACTATTGGTTTGACGTAGGCTGATAAATAAAAGTGTTGGGTAGAGTTTGACCCAAGTAGTGCTCATAGGAAACGTGCGCGACATATGTTTCGTTCTAATGGTAAGAAATCTCTTCGCTTTCTCTTCTTTTCAAGGTAACTACGCAGGATTGTACGACAAAAGTGGCATTGACCTAAAGGATGTCCCACTA